GATTATGTTGCTGCATTTTTTTGGAATTATCGTCATATTTTAAATAAATTTTATATTATTATTGGTACAATGTTAGCATTGATTGCAATGTTAGGTATACGAACATTTTATTTTCATCCAGTTGATACGGCTAGTTTTCAAGTATTATATGATTGTATTGTTTATAATACTGATCAATATTATCAAAGTATAGATACTGATGATAATATTCAAAGAAAAAAATCCCAACGTTTTCAACAATATCGTCACCTTTTTGATCACGATCATCGTTTTTTATCAATAATAATAAATCCATTAATAAATTTATTCATTTCGATTCGTGTTTGGCTAGATTCATGGCTAGAATTGGATCAAGTTGTTCAAGAATTATTTGAAAAACAAAATCATATGCGTATGTTTTTATATGCAACCATTAAAGGACGTTCACGTTGTTTATTATTGGTTATGATTGCTGATTTATTAACCTATGGTTTTCATATTTTCTTAGGTAAATGTTATTTTGTTTTCAAAATCATTTTGTTTTTTCAATTAATTATTTTTTGTACAATTCAAAACAGCAATTGCCTCTATACCATGTGCAATAATAATATTACCTGTAATATTTCAATATAATATGGTACAAAATTCATGGATATTCAAATTTACATTTATTATTGAAGTATTATTATTCATACATAATACATTATTATTATTTCAATGTGCAATGTTATTAAGTTTTTCAATGTTAATATCATATCAAGCATTTCATAATGAATTAGCTCAATTGAATCAAAGTTTTCTAGAAATTACTGAAAATTCACGAAAAGGAATAAAACAAATTGGTCCAAAAGAATTGACCAAACTTAGATTTATTTATAAACGACATAATATTCTCTCATATTATTTAATTTATCCGGATAAAGATGCATGGAGCCAGGCATTGTATTATTATGCATTGTTATCCATTCCAATCAATGTATCATTATTATGTATTTTAATTATTGAACAATTAACACCACAAATACGAATGATGTTAATTTTGGTTACAATTGTACATGCATTAACCGGTTTAATACCATTTCTTAATACAGCAAATGTATCGAATAATTTTCATCAAATTAAAGATTATATTTTACCATTACAATTTCAGCTAAAACGTCGTCAACATTTACGTATCAAATTAAAATATGATGATCTTTATGGCCGATTATTGAATGGCAAGAAGATTTCCTTTACATTTGGCTATCTTGGTGATCTAACATTTCGTGGCCTGTTTGAAGCATTTCTTAGCTATATTGTTGCATTCTTTTTGATTTTGGGTTTCTATATGGATGAACGACAAAATAAACAACAATCAACATTATAATAATATCAATTTTTCATCATTAACACTGTTTTTTCACATTGATATTTTGTTTTTTTTTTCACTGAATTCACATTACAATATTAATAATAATAACTGACCCTTTTTAAACTTTGAACTATTAAATTATTATTTAAAAAAAATTTCATCACTGTGCACATGCGCTTACCAAAATTCAAAAATTTTAATTGAAGGATGGAAAGAAAGTTTTTGTCATACTCCTTCCCCACATTCGATGATTGATTTGTTTTTTTTTGTTCAAATGATCGATATTGATTAATGATCAAAAAAAATTTTCAAAAATACAAAAAAAACGATAAAATATTTATATATTTTTTCTCAAAAATATCAGTTGTAAATAAGGGAAACTTTTCCTTCTATTTTTTTTTGAAAAATTACTAAAAATCATGAAAATATTTTCCATGGAAATTTTTTTTTATTGTTTGTAACATTTAAAATTTGTAAATCATTAGAAAAAAAATAAGAAAAAAAATTGATCATTTTGGTTTCGGGTAACGTTCATAGTTTATCTGTAATTTTTTTCATATTAAAAAAGAAGAAGAGAAGTTACAAAAAAGAAAAAAGAGAAATTACAAAAATGCTGTTTTACTTTAAACAATTTAATTATTGTACAATAAAATATATTTGTGAACAATATGGTACAAGACGTTATAAACTTTTACATCGTTTTGAATTTTTCTGTTATATTTATCTATTTATACGTTTATCAATAATATTTTTAATGTATTTGGATCCAGAAACATTTCCATTCATGAAATATGATTATGCATCCGAATATTTTTGGCTTTATCGTCATATTATAAATAAATTTTTAGTTATTATTGCAATAATGTTATCATTGATTGGTATGTTAGGTTTGAAAACATTTTTCTTTCACCGTGTGGATACGGCAAGTTTTCAAATCTTATATGATTGTATTGTTTATAATACTGATCAATATTGGAAAAGTTTGGATACCGATGAAAATATTGCAATCAAATGTCAAACACGTTATAATTATTATCGTCAACAATTTGATCGTGAACATCGTTATTTATCAATGATTAATCCTTTGGCTGATCGACTGGTTTCCATAAAAGTTTGGATTGATTCATGGTTAGAATTAGATCATATTGATCAAAATCAATTTGAAAAACATAATCGTATGCGATTGCTTTTATATGTAACCAATAAAGCTCGTATCTATGTTTTACTGTTTGTAATGATGGCCGATAAATTAATTTATTGGTTACATATTGGTTTGGGTAAGGGAATTAATTTCTTCATTTTTTTTTTGTTACCTTTCTTAAAAATTAATTACTTTATAATTTTATTTTAAAAAAAAATAAACAGTAATACCAGGAATACCAGTAGTTTATATAGCTATACAACAATTTTTATCATTGGCTACATTACAAAATTCCTTATTAATGAAATTATCATTTTTATTGGAAGCATTAATATTTGCACATGATACATTTGTATTAATACATTGTGCAATGTTACTGACATGGACAATGATTATATCATTTATTGCATTTCATAATGAATTAACTGAATTAAATCGTAATTTTTCGGAAATTTCTCGAAAATCACGTGCTAATAGTAATAATAATCGTATAAGTTTAAAAGAAATATCACGATTAAAATTCATTTATAAACGTCATAATATAATGTCATATTATTTAATTTATCCGGATCAAGATGCATGGAGTCAGGCATTATATTATTATGCATTGTTATCCATACCGATCAATGTATCATTACTGTGTATATTAATCAATGAACAATTATCACCTGAAATACAATCAATATTATTAACATTAACAATTTTACATGCATTAACCGGTTTAATACCATTTCTTACGGTTGCAAATGTATCAAATGATTTTCATCGTATAAAAGATTATATTTTACCAATGCAATTTCAATTAAAACAACGACAACATTTACGTTTAAAATTAAAATATGATGATCTTTATGGACGATTAATGCATGGTAAAAAAATATCCTTTACATTTGGCTATCTAGGTGATCTAACATTTCGTGGCCTGTTTGAAGCATTTCTCAGCTATATTGTTGCATTCTTTCTGATTCTTGGTTTCTATATGGATGAACAACAAAATAGACAACAACAACAACAATCATAATTACACTTTTTTTTCATTAAAAAAAATCGATTCTTTATTTTTCTAACAACACTAATCACTACAGTCGTCCGTCGTTTCGATACAACGACGAACGACATAACCGCGTTGTACGAGGGACGACTGTATTTTAATTTATATTTTCATATCTTTATTAATGTTAATTTTGTCTGTGTGTGTGTGTATGTTTTTCACAAACAAAAAAAATATTAAAATTTCAACAACAACAACAGAAAAAAAATCTTTAAAAAAAAAGATTTCAATTGAAACACATTTGATGATTGCATATCTTTTATTTTATATTTATTGGTTTTGCCGGTTATCAATCGTTAGTTTAATGTATTTGAATCCGGAAAAATATCCATTCTTTGAATATGAATATGGTGCAAGATTTTTTTGGCAATATCGTGAAATTATTAATAAATTTTTCCTAATAATATTAGGATTTTTAGCATTTTTCAATATGCTTACAATTGAAGCATTATATCTTCGTCCAGTTAATACATTAAGTTTTCAAATCCTATATGATTGTATTGTTTATAATACTGATCAATATTTCAAAAGTTTAGATACAATCGAAAATGTTGTAATCAAAAAATCTAAACGTTTTCATCAATATCAACAAAATTTTGCTAACAATTATCCAATATTATTGAAAATAATTCCAAATTTTATTCTGGAAACATTATTCAGTATTCGTGTTTGGATTGATTCATGGTTACAATTGGATCATGTTGATCGAAAATTATTCGAACAACAAAATCGTATGCGATTATTTCCGCATGCATCATTCAAATGTCGTACAAATATTTTATTATTTGTATTATTGGTTGATCTTTATAATTATATCTTCTATTATATATGCTGTAAGTATTCACTAATTTCTAATCAAAAAAAAAAAAACCTTATTAAACCTTTTCATTTTACAAACAAACAAAAAAAAAGTTTTTGTCATATCAATATCAGCAACTATAATACTTTATCAAGGTTATTCATTTGAAATGATGAAAAATTCTCTATTATTAAATATATGTTTAACAATCGAAGCAATATTATTTGTAAATTGTGCATTTTTTATGGTAAAATTAACAATGTTAAAATTTGGTATATTAATATCACAATATTTTATCTATCATAATAATGTTAAACAATTGAATAATAATTTGAAAATTTGTTTATCATCACCATCACCATCATTAAAATGGCAATCATCAACAACGTCATCGTCATCGGTAACCAAATCAAATCAATGGATGAAAAATATTGGATGGAAAAAAATACAAACATTAAAATTTATTTATCAACAACATAATCGTTTATCATATTATCTAATATTTACTAATCAAAATCAATGGAGCCGATCATTGTTTAATATGGCATTAATATCGATACCAATGAATGCAACAGTATTATCTGAATTTATTATTGAAAAAATGCCAATGCAAGCACAATTTATATTTATATTTGTTGCTTGTATACAAGGTTGTTTTTGTTTAAGTCCATTTTTAGTAATAGCAATAATATGTAAAGATTTTCATCATATTGAACAATGGATAACAATCATACAGTTACGCTTGAAATCAAAAAAACATTCAATACAGATTAAAATGAAATTTGATGATCTTTATGGCCGGTTAATGTTTGGNCGTCATCGTTATCAGTAACAAAATCTAATCAATGGATAAATATTGATTGGAAAAAAATTCAAACACTAAAACATATTTATCGTCAACATAATCATTTATCCTATTATCTATTATTTACTAACCAGGATCGATGGAGCCGGGCATTATTCAATATGGTTTTAGTATCGTTACCAATGAATGCAACAATATTATCTGAATTTATTATCGAACATATGCCTATACAAACACAATTTTTATTCATATTTGTTGCTTGTATACAAGGTTGTTTTGGTTTAAGTCCATTTTTGGCTATTGCAATAATATGTAAGGATTTTCATCATATTAAACAATGGATACCGATTATACAGTTACGTTTAAAATCAAAAAAACATTCAATACAGATTAAAATGAAATTTGATGATCTTTATGGTCGGTTAATGTTTGGTAGGAAAATTGCATTTTCATGTGGTTATTTCGGTGATATTACATTTCATCGTTTGTTTGAAGGTTTTCTTATGTATATTTTGATTTTGTTTCTTATTCTTGGTTTCTATGTTCAATCACATTAATCATGTTTAGTTTTTGATTTTCTTGACTTCATTTCATATTATCCCCATCAATTTATTGTATTTCAAATTTAAAAAAATAAATTTAAAAATTTTGAAAAATTAACCGAAAAAAATTATGGAAATTTTCCCGGAAATTTCGGGAATGTTTCCGGAAATCCTAAAAAAATATTGTTAATCAATATGAAACCAAGAACAGATAACGTTTTAAACATTCATTTTTTATTCAAATTTTTTAATTTTTATTTGGTTTATTATTGGTAAAACAACAAGTAAACAAATAGAGTAAAAGAGAGAGAGAAAAACATTTTCAAATTATTGTAAATTGGATGTGTTTTTGTTTATCAAATGAAACAAACGATGATGATGATGATGATGAGAAAAATGTTTTTTGTTTTGTTTTGTTTTGAAATAGAAAAAAAAACTTTGAAGAAATTCGACATGAAAATCCATTATTATTACTGGTTTTTTTGTTGTTGTTTTTGTGGTAAATATTTGCAGCAAGTTTTGATCAGAAACAGAAACAAAAATCAGAAAAAACATTGTCATTACGTTTTTGCAAAAAAAAGAAAAGAAATTCAAATGTATTATAAATTGGTAGTACATTTTTTTTGTGTTAGCTATCATAGCACTTTTTTTGTTAGCTAAAACAACTTATTTTATGGAATCGAACGGAAAAAAAACAAAAATGTGACAAAAGAATTTGTGTTGTTTGGTTTTTTGGCAATGAAAATGTTTTTCGGATGGGAAAATTTATTGTAAATAATGTGTGTGTGTGTAAATCACCTGAATGTTTTTATTTTTGTTTTTTGTTTTGTAATTATTATTGTTTTGTTTTCGAGTTAGATTGGTCATCTGAATATTTATTTATTTTAACCAAAATGGTTGTAAATCACGATAAGGAGCACGTAAATGTGGTGGTACACCAACTTCTTCTGAACGTCTAATCGGTTTTTGTTTATATGGTGGAGGCAATATGATTGCTGTTGTTACTGATGATGATGATGATGATGGTGATGATTTAATCTGATTATTATTATTATTATTATGATGATCATTATGATTATTATTATTACTAGAATCTAATGATGATGATGCTGTTGATAAACGATCCGATGATCCATTATGATTATTATTATTATTCGAACCATTATTACCACCGGTAACCATTAACATTAATGAATCAAAATCGATAAGTGAATTTTTATTTGAATTTGATACATTATCTTTATCTTTTATTAGATCTTTATCTTTGTGATGATCGGCAGCAGCTACAGCTGATACTGATGATGATGGTGATGTTGCTGCAACTGATAATAATAATGAACGACATGATTTACATTGGGCACTTGGCGAATAAACTTCTTTATAAATACGACAATTATAACATGGTGATGATGCTCTTGAATTTGAACAACTATTTTGACCATTGCTGCCATTTGGTGCTAAAATTGTTGATACTGATAGACCAGATTTATGATCATTTGTTGATGGATTTGTTATCTTTACCAATAGATTACGTGTTGATGATGATGATGATTTTGCTGATAATGCTGATGCTGATATTGATGAAAGACGACGAAAATTTTGACTTGGATAATAAGCAGCCGATGATGATGATGAATTTGTTGATGTAAATGGTGATGCCATTGAATATGCCATTGTTGCTGAATTACGACGTGCCATTGTACGTGCACAAAATCTACTCATACGACGTTTTCTTGACATACGTCTTGCTTGTTTTACTGAATTTGTTGTTTTATTACCATAACTATCTTTGGATGAATATCGACAACTTTGACTTCGTTGATTTGAACCAATATTGTTCGCTTTATTCAATCCATTCATTAAATTTGGTACCGATGTTCCAGATTTATTATTCAATGATGATGATCTTTCATTTATCGATGATTTCATTATCGATGAACTTAATATTGATTCTTCATCAGATTTCAGATCACGACGATTACCACTACCAACACTATCGATAGCTCTTATACTACTATCGATTGTAAATGAATCATGTTCACAATCACCATCATCCGATCCATAATCATTTTGTCCATGTTGTTGTTGTTGTTGTTGTTGTTGATCTTTACAACATAATGATGAACAAGCTTTATAACCCAATAAACATGCCAGAAGAAATGCAATTTCCAATACAATTTCAAATATTTTTAAATCAATATTACTGGCTGTTATTGTTGGATGATGATGATGATTATTTATTGAAGAACTAATACCACTACTACCACTACCGGAAGGATAATGATGTCCAATAACACCGGATGATGATGATGATAATGAATTTTGTTGACCACTACCATAATAATTACTACCACTATTTTGACTATTATGATGATAAGATTGTTGATCAACATATTGACCATTACCATGTTGATGATCACCTAATGATGGTGATTGTCCTCCTACTGATGATGATGATGAACCAAATTGAAACAATGAATTCATTGAATGTATCCATTCACAACGACGTAAATATTTATTCCAATGTTGTCCAATTGGACAACGACATCTTTTTATTGTTAACATTTGTGTTAAATTAACTGATGGTGTTGATGTGGAAATGGTCGTCGTCGTCATTGTTGAATTTTTTAAATTATTATTCTTATTGGCAGCAACAATTAATTGACGACAAATTAAATTTGCTAAACATTGACGATCATCATCACATTGTTGACCATAATAATGTGGACGAATTGATGATAATATTGATGATGATAATGATGGTAATGAAGCTGATAATGATGATGATGATTGAACCGATGAATGATGATGATGATGATTTACAATCGTTTGTTGTTGTTGATGTTGTTGTTCATTATGGTTTGATGACCAATTTTCATTCAATAAACATTTTATTACATAAATAACGTTATGTTGTTGTTGATTGGCAGTATTATTGATCGAATGATTCGATGTTGTTTTAATATTAACTTTAATCTGTACACGACGAAAACGTTTCATATCACTACAAATACATTGATTTTGACGAATATCACAACGACCATTTGGATCATAGAAAATTTTTGATGATGAATTTTTACCAATACAATCTTCATCTTTTAGACAATGTATTGGTGGAAATGATATTGTTATGGTTGGAGGTGGATTTATTGTCGACGATAATATTGATGTGGATGATGATGGTAATGATGGATTCGATGATGATTCTTCATTCGATTTATCACTTTTTTGTATTATCAACGGTTTTGATTCGATGACAGCAGCGTTTACGATGATCAAAATGCAAATCATCATTATTGTTGGTGATGATTTACGGAATGTAAACGTTTGTTTTGTAAATGAAAACATTTTTGTAAATTTTTTTTTGGTTTGGTTTTTGTAAATTTGGCAAAAAAAAAACAGGCAGGAAAGAAAGAAGTTTTTTTCGTGTGTAAAAATTCGAATGTTAACAAAATTTTCTGTAAAGTTTTTTTCTGTAAATTGTTTCTGTAAAGTTTTCTTGTAAATAATTTTTGTAAATAATTTTTTTTTTGTAAATAGTTTTTTGTAAAGTTGTAAAATTCAAAAAAAAAAATGTTACAATAAAAATCAATCCAAAAAAATCGATTGAAACGAAAAAAACATCAAGCCTGTAAAGTGGACTTGGATGTTTTTTCAAAATTCAAAAAATTGCTACATTATTTTGATTTTCGTGGATAAAATTTTGTTTTCATAAAAAAACCAAACAAAAACAAGCAAAGGGTGATGACATTGTTCATGTAAATGTCGCATTGATTATTGGATGCTTTATTTGATGGGAAAAAATTTGAAACAAAAACGAAATTCTTGACAAACCGAATCGAATGAATTCCAAATGGAAAATGGCCAACAAAATTTGTTGGTTGCACTGAATATAAAATCGTTTTTGGCGTTGATGAACGTCAGCAAAAAGTTTTTCTTTCTCTCACTATATAGAGAGGTAAAAAAATGAAAAAATTGAATTCCGGGTTCCATCAACATCATCGTTGTCGTCATCGTAATCATCAGATAAGGCGCCTAGGCGCCAACAAATGTATCTAGGTTATCTCTCTCTCTCTCTCTCCCTATATAGAATCAGGAATATTCTCAATGTGCTTGGGCAGAATGTGTGGGTGGTAGATGATGATGATCCAAGAAACATTTTTGTTTTTTTTTTCGTCATCAACATCGTCGAGGTTCCAAAGAATTCAATTCAATTTGATTTAGGGGTGGTTACTATTTTTAGTTTTTTGTAATGAAAAACGAACCAACCAACCAAACTGACGAGAAGAATCCAGTTATTCAAGCGATAATCTGAACTTTAAACTTCCGCGTTTGCGTTGTTTGGTCCATTTGGAATTTTTTTTTTTGTCTCTGGTCGTCAGACAATGTACCAGATAAATGGAACTGAATGAATGATGTTCGGTAATTTTCATTTTTCCCAAGTGTTCCGGGTTTGTTTGTTTTTTTTATTATTTCTTTTGTTCGTTGGTTCAAACAAACCGAATCGATTGTTGTTGGGTTCAATGATCGATTGATGTTTTGGGTTTTGCGAAAAAATAGTAAGGAAACTTCTGTCTTTTGGCAGATGGAAATATTTGGTTTTTCGGTGTGAAAAAAGTCACAAAATTTCAAAATTTCAAAATTTTAAAAATGGAAAATTTAAATTCGAAGAAAAAAAACAATATTTTTCTATTTTGACTATTTTCACATTCAGAATCCTAATCAGGTTGAATTAGTCCATTTTGTTTTGGTTTTTTTTTCTCTCATCAAGATTCGAATTCGATTCAAAGTAAATAAATAGAAAATAAACACCAAACACAAATGGATATTTTGGTTGATTTTTCTGATGAATATCAAAGGTATTAACATAATCAACATTGGAAAACCTTGTTGCGAGAAATTTCTTTCCTATTTTGTTTTCCTATTTCTTCTTTTGTTTTACTGAAAATGTAATCAAATATTGTTTGTCAAGTATTATGTTTACTTTATTAATATATAGTAGCAAGAGGTAAATGTTTTCTTTCATTCATTTTTCTGTAAATTGTGATAAAGATCAGATCAAATTATTGTTTGTTTTGTTTTTCCCAAATCATATGATGATTACCAACAACAACGTAATTTATATTTATATTGCACAAAAACAAAAGAGAAAATGCAACGTGTATGAATCATCAATTATCCTCTTCAACACACGCACGTGATTAAATTATTGTAAATTAAATTAAAGTTTGCCCAAAGGGGAAAAAAATTCACACCTGACAATTCAAATGACATCATGTCATCATCATCATCATCAAGTTCAAATCTTCCATCAACATCAACATCGATTATACAACAACAACAACAAGACGCTCAACAAGATCAACATCAAGAACCATTAGCAGATTCGAATGAAATATTATCGATGACGCCTGAACCACCGCCATCAACAGATTCAACAATAAGGTTTTCTTTTTGCCAGAAATTTGATTTTCTATGATTTTATAATTTTTGATCTTTTTTTTCAATTTAGAGAAAGTGATGATGTTGTTGTCGAAATTATAGAACCAATACCAGCATTTTTAGATTCAACATCACCAAATCGTCGTTATCGACAACGTTCATTAAGTTATTTACCATATAAACGTAATAGTGAACGGCGTTTACAAAAATTTCGTGATGCACAAAAATTTCGTCATAAAACATTGAATCGTACGGCATCAACCGAATCATTAATCAATCATAATGATGATAATCAAAATAATCAGAATCATCAAAATCACCATCATCATCAAAATGATATTCAAACGATAAATCAACAACATCTACAAAATGGTGGTGGTGGTGGTATTGATGCAAATAAAACAATAACATCGGTTATATCAATGTCATCGACAATATCACATTCACATGTACGACGAATGTATCATCAAAAAAGTCTTGGTTATGAAGGTCTGGATTATGATATCTGTGAAAATATGTTACATTTAGAAGAAGAGAATAATGCTCGTCGAAAACGTCTTGGAAATAATTATCTAGAATTCACAAGATGGTTGGTTATATTTTTTATCGGTGCATTAACCGGCCTGACTGCATGCGCAATTTTATTCAGTGTTGAAATATTGACCAATTATAAATATGAAAAATTAATGGTATGTTTTGTAATTGATTTTCATTTATCTTCAATTCTTGATTTTTTCGTTTTTCCACAGCATTTACTTAATTCATCAAATCCAAGTTCAATGATAAAACCATATCTTCTGTGGTTATTAACTAATGGTATACCAGTATTTCTTGGTTCATGGTTGGTTACTTATATGGCACCAGTTGCTGCCGGTTCTGGTATACCGGTTATAAAATGTTATCTTAATGGTGTTAAAGTTCCTGAAGTTGTACGTGTTAAAACATATTTTGCTAAAATGATTGGTGTTATTTGTTCGGTTGTTGGTGGTTTGGCTTGTGGAAAAGAAGGACCAATGATACATTGTGGTGCAACAATTGCAGCCGGTATTTCACAAGCAAAATCAACAACATTTAATTTAAATTTTGAAATTGGATTATCTCGATTTCGTGAAGATCATGAAAAACGTGATTTTGTTTCAGCAGGTTTGTTTTGTTTTGCTTTGTTTTTTTTGAAAAAAATTCTCTAATTTCTTTAATCAATAGGAGCTGCTGCTGGTGTTGCAGCTGCATTTGGTTCACCATTAGGTGGTGTCCTATTCGCCCTGGAAGAAGGTGCATCATTTTGGAATCAACAACTTGTATTGCGTATATTTTTCTGTTCATTAGTTTCATCATTTACATTAAATTCAGTTGTATCCGTATTCAATGGTGAACGAATGGGTAGTCCTGGTTTATTAAATTTTGGAAAATTTCAAGATATTGATTATAGTTTCTATGAAATACCATTATATGCTGCTATGGGTGTATTTGGTGGTATAACCGGTGCATTATTTAATTTATTTAATATGAAATTAACAATATTACGACAACGATGGCTGGAAAATCGAAAAATGTTACGTGTTTTCGAAGCCATCCTGGTATCATTATTAACAGCATCAATTGGATTTGCATTAATGAATGTTTGGAGTGAATGTACACCGGAAACAACTGAACAAACACATTTTCCCGTAACGTATGGTTGTCCAAAAGGACAACATAATGTTATGGCAGCATTATGGTTTAATACACCTGAAGCAACATTAAAAAATTTATTCCATAATAAAGATGGTGCATGGAATGTACGATCATTAACAATATTTGTAATAACATATTTTTTTATATCATGTGTTACATATGGTCTTTCAATATCAAGTGGTCTATTTATACCTGGATTAATGTTGGGTGCAACATGGGGTCGTTTAATTGGTATTGGATTATCTAATCTATTACCAAATGAAACATGGATACATTCAGGAAAATTTGCATTAATTGGTGCATCAGCTAGTCTTGGTGGTATTGTTCGTATGACTATATCATTAACTGTGATATTAATTGAAACAACTGGTAATCTTTCATTCGGCCTACCTATTATGATTACAGTTTTTACTGCCAAATGGATTGGTGATCTTTTCAATGAAGGTATTTATGATATTCATATTGATTTATCGAATGTACCATTTCTTGGTTGGCAACCACCATCTGATTCATCCAGGATATTTGCATCAGAAGTAATGCATAGTCCTGTTACATCATTACAAGTAAGGGAAAAAGTACAAAATATTGTTGAAATTCTATCAACAACACATTATAATGGTTTTCCTGTTGTTGATGAAAATACTATACATCAAGCTGTACGAACATTTGGCAGATATCGTGGTCTAATTTTACGTTCACAATTATTAGTTATGTTAAAAGCACGAATATTTCAAGAATATTCATTAGATCAACCATGGAAAAATCTAAATTCATTATTTCGTAATTCATATCCACGTTATCCAAATTTACAACAAATTATAAATGAATTAACGAATGAAGAATTACAAATGACAATGGATCTAAGACCAGTAATGAATCCAAGTGCCTATACAATTAGTCATGCTGCATCATTAAATCGTATATTTCGTTTGTTTCGTGCACTTGGCCTAAGACATATTGTTGTTTTAAATGATTATAATGAAGTTATTGGTATTGTAACACGTAAAGATTTAGCATTTTATTGTACGGTTCGATTTGCTAAACATTAACCGAACAGAGCAAGATCAGAGAAAAATCAGAGAAAAAGAAAAAACTTTTATAATTTTTATTTTCATACTTATAACATTCATTTCTTTGATTACAAAATATATTTTGTATATATAAATATCCATCCACATTCCCTTTATAATATTTTTTTAAAATCCATCATTAACTTTTATTTTTTTAATTAATTAAAAATTATTTTCATTATAAAATTATCAATGATGATGATGATGATGATATATTTCAAATTTTTTTATTTTTTTATTTTGATTATTATTGACTTGATGAGTTAAAATAGTTGTTTACTAATGATTTCAATTCACATGTGTGTAATTTGACAAGCTAATTCGATTTTTGTTGTTTTGTTTGATTGAAGAAATAAAAAAAAATTATCGATGACTTTTAAAATCAATTTTCCCAATTATCATCTACAAAGTGATTGGCATGATGCATCGTAAGTATTGTTTTGTTTTTTCTCAATAACTAAATGAACTATATTTTTGTTTATTGTTTTTTTTTAAATTCATTATGAAGAATAAATGAAAAAATTTGGCTACATTCGATCAATATCAAAAATGATGATCGTAATGATGATTTGAAGAAAAATTATGATTTAAAAATTATCAATGAATCAAATATCATTATCGATAATGATAAAAAGAATGATGATAATGATTTTATCATTGAAGATTATTCAAAAAAATGTCTAGCTATTAATGATGTTAAATCAAATGTAACACATCGATTTATTGCTCCTGTTCGAGTTTTTCAATCAATTCATCAAAAATCAATAATATCATTGGATGTAGCACCGACTGGAATAGCTGTATCATCATCAACCGATGGTACAATGAAAATATGGGATACTTGTACAAATGTTTTAAAATATGAATTAAAAGGTCATTATTTGGATGTTAATCGATGTCGATTTTTTCCATCAAATGAAGTTATTGTCAGTGTCGGATTGGATATGTTAATTAAAATTTGGTCAGCAATCGATGGTTCATGTCCAGTTACAATGAAAGGTCATACTGGTTCGATAAATGATTTGGCTATTGTTGATCGTGGACGTAATATCATTACGGTTGGTCGAGATGGATTAGCAAAATTATGGAGTTGTGCTAAACAAACATGTATTGAAAATCTATTTGATACTGGAAATATACCTATAAATGCCTGTGCAATTAAATCATTTTCAAATTCATATGATCTTGGTCAACGTAAAGATTCGGCTAATGATGATTGCGTTGGTACTTTGAATAAGATGCTTTTATTAGCAACCGAATCCGGTTTAATTCATGGTATTGGTGTCGATTCGAAACAATCATTATTCAAAATTGAATGTCATTCGCCTGTAAATTGCGTATCATTTTTAAATGAATTTGATTTGATCGCTGGAACTCATGATGGAAATATTTATCAATATGATATACGAAATTTTAATCAACCAAAAATTAATTGGTTGATATCACGATCACCAGTACTTTCAATGATATCAGTACGAAGACCATTCAATGGTTTTGTTGCTAGCCATCAGGATGGATCAGTTGATTTTCATTATGATGATCATAATCAAATATTACATCTAACTGGATCGGATTGTGATCCAATTTATCAAATTGTTTATGATGATAAATTTATTTATACTGCTTGTCGTGATGGAAAAGTTCGTAAATATTATCTAAATAATGCTTTTGAATAAATATTTATAGAAAAATAAAATAAATGATAAAATACAAACTTACATCAATTATGGTTGAAAATGATTTCAGACAAATGTCATTGATTGAAAACAAAATGAAAATATATTTCACAATTCAATTTCTCTTTATCTTCTTTATCCCTCTCTATAATTTCTCTTGCGTTTTTTTCTCCTGATATCACCATTATCATTTGGTTAAATAAACAAACAAACAAACAATTTTTTTTGTGCCATATATTAAATATGAACAGGTTGCGTATTAGTAAATCTCTCTTTTTTTTTCGCAAATGAAAAAAAGTATTTCGTACATTTCAGTTTTGTTTGTGTTTGATTTGATAAGCATTCAATATTTTTTTTAGTTGAATGACTTGATTTGACAAAAAAATTGAAATTTATCCGTTCGTTTCATTGATAAATTCTTAATTTATTGATTTATCGATTCGATCGATTTTCGATTTTTGCTTTATCATCGAAATCAATTTCCTATATCTTTTACATCTATCTCTATCCCTCTCTGTTTGTAAATGTATCATGATCTTTTGAAAGTCGTCGATTGCGAACGAAACAAAAAACGATGCAAAAAAAGAAATCCCATTAAATCACATCATTATAAACAGAAGTGGTAATTGAAGAAAACCCCAAATCGACAGGAGCTTAAATGATGAAAAATCGTAAAGAATCGAATAAAACCAAGAATATTGATGTTATTCTTGATTATTTAGGTGATATTGGTAGATATCAATGGGAAATATTTTTATTATCAATATTACCAGTATTTATTGCTGGTATGTTAAGTACATCGTTTATATTTACAACATCTATACCGGAATATAGGTATGTTTTTAACATTCTGGTCATTTTTTTGTTTTGAATTAATTTCTTTCCCCCCAAAAAAAACATAGATGTTTTATTCCAGCATGTGATGCATTGAATGCTGAACAACAACCAGAATCTGTACGAACAAAAACCGAATTATTTTCAAAATCTTTTATATCATTGGCAATACCAATGAAAAAAAATTCATTAAAAAATGAATTTGATAATTGTTTTATGTATGGAATGATTGAACAGCCAAATAAAAATTATTCATCATCATCATCAAAATCATTACAATGTTTACCACAATCATTTGATAATCAAACATTACGAAAATGTGTTAATTATGTTTATAATAATGAATATTTTTATTCAACAATTGTAACCGATTATAAATTACATTGTAATGATGAATGGTTTGTACAGTTAATGCAATCATTATTTTTTTTCGGTGTTCTAGTCGGTGCAATTGTTAATGGAATATTGGCTGATAAGTATGTTTATTTTAATGAATTTAAAACATTTTAAAAACGTGATTTGTTTTTCCCCCCAATAGATATGGTAGACGAATAATTTTCATAATCTATAGTCCAATAACAACAATATGTATTTTACTTAGTATATTTGCACCAAATCTATCCATATATGCATTTAGTTTATTTATAAAAGGAATTTGTGTTGCCGGTATTTATCAATCAGCATTTACATTAGGTATTGAATGTTTAGATGGTAAATGGAGATTTTGGCTTGGTAATTCATATAGTGTTATATTTGCATCTGGTGCTATTTATGCATGTCTGTGTGCATGGTGGTTACGTTCATGGCGTCTAATGGAAATTTCAAATTTATTTCCGGCAATTTTTATGTTACCATATCCATTGTAAGGAATTTTGCTCTGATTTTTTTAAAATTTGATCATTTTTTTCTCTCACACTTCACTTTTTTCAATAACAAATAGAATTTTATCCGAATCGATTCGTTGGCAATTTTCAGCTGGAAAAATTCAACAAGCATTACGACAAATAACTGTTGCTGCCAATAAGAATAATGTCGATATACCGGATGATTTGTTTCAATCATTTTTGATTGAATCCGAAAAAGTTTGTTGCTTTCTCCTTTTTGAAATTTTGATAATTAACTTGTTTCAATTCAATCAACCAAAAAAAATCTAGCCAATCAATGAAAAAACCTGTGATCAACAACAATCAAATGTATCGATAATGGATTTATTCGGTCATAAATTAATAAGAAAATGGACAATAACATTTCTTTATATTTGGTTTACAAATGCCTTAGTATATTATGGATTATCATTTTTAGCATCGGATATTAATCAAAATATTTATCTATCAATGGTTTTATTAATGGTTGTTGAATTTCCTGGTGTATTAGTTGCATCATATTTGGGTGATTTTTCACGAAAATATGTTTTAATGGGAATTATGATTACTGGTGGCTGTTCATGTATTATATCATCATTTTTATCAGCTGGTAATTTAAAAATGTGGTTAGCTATTTTGGGTAAAATGAGTATTAGTGGATCATTTTCATTAATATATGTTTATTCGGCCGAAATATTTCCAACTATACTTCGTATTACCGGATTGGGAATGTGTTCATTTTGTTCACGTTTTGGTGCAATGAGTGCACCATATCTATTACAATTGGTAAGATGTTCACTATAATGAATGGAACATTTTAATTTTAATTTATATTATTTTAGCATTTATTTGGTGATTCATTTCCATTTCGTGTTATCGGTATTATAACACTGTTAGCCGGTATTGTAAGCATATTATTACCCGAAACAAAAGGAAAAAAATTACCCGATACATTAGCCGAAGTTGAACAATTAAAATATACAAATAAACAATTAATACTATTATTGAATAATGGTGGTGATAGTTGTTCAATTGTATCAACTGAATTAAATGAAACAGATGATTTATTAGGAAATGAATGTCGTATGAATGTAACAACAAAATAATAATCAACAGAACAAAATCTATCTATTATCCAATTAATTATCTTTTTTTCTTTTATTTGAAATGTTTTCTTTCTTTATTTGAATTCTTTTCTTTAAAAAAAACATGAAAAATCTGGAAAAACCAGTTAAAAAAAATAAAATTGAATAATACAAAAAATGAAATTATAATTAAAAATCATAATCCGAATACGAACAAAACAATTATTATCATCGAAAACATTACTAAAGTAATTCAGAAAATTCAAAAATCAGAAAAAGGAATGATATTGGATGCTGATGGGGAAAAAAATTTGACCTTGAGAAGAAAAAATGATCATCAATTTTCGTTATGAGATATTTTTTTTTTTTTTTTGGTTAGAAATAAATGAAAAGGATGTAAAGTACAAGATTATATATAGCAAAAAAAAAATCTAACTGTGAATTCAAAATCATGATGATAATGGATATTGGATGATATTTTATGGATGCTATTCGACCAAAAAAAAAACTTGACCTTGAAAAGAATTTTCTTAGCTGAATTAGCACACAAAACAAAATTATTATTATTATATATTGAAAGCAATAAGAAGAAGAAAAATATTTTGTTTTTTTTTCATTCACTTTGATTGAATTCAAAAGGAATTTTTTGCATTCATTCCAGTCAGTCAGTCAGTTAACTGAACAGCAATCTTATTTAACAACCCAAACAACCATACCAAATATTGACAATTATGGAATCAATATCAATGAATAGACCAACTGAAAATGTTGATAAACAAAAAAATATTGATAATATTCTTGCATCACTTGGTAATATTGGATATTATCAGATAAAAACCTATCTACTTTGTTTATTTCTAATGTTTTGTTCTGGTATAATAGCACCTGCACGAGTATTTGAACTAATAATACCTGAACATAGGTAAGTTTGGGTTATTATGGTTTGTTTGCTGGTTGAAAATACGATTTTCTTTTCATTTCTTTTTGAAAGATGTTTAATACCAATCTGTGAAAATTATGATGATATCGAACAACAACCACCAAATTCAAATTATGAATTATTTCATCATTCATTTTTAAAATTTACATTACCAAAAGTTGAAAATTCTTATGATCGTTGTCATTCATATGAACCGATAAAAAAATTCAACAATAATCAATCAAATACAACAACAACAACAAATGAAGAATGTTCAAGTAAAACATTTGAACTTCGTTCAACAATTGAACCATGTAAAAAATTTATATTTAATCATCAATATTTTCAATCAACAATTATTACTGAATTTCAATTATATTGTCAACAAGATAATATTCAATTAATACGTGCTTGTTATTTTTTTGGTACTATTATTGGATTGATTTTGAATATCATTTTAGCCGATAAGTAATGTTAATTTTGTTAATATATGGTCAATTACATTACTTACCAATTATACTTTTTTTTTCTTTTTTTTTGCATATATTAATAGATATGGTCGACAAATAATGATACGAATTTTTTGTCCATTAACAGTGTTAATATTTATATTGAATATTTTCGTTACAAATATCTATTCATATGGATTTTGTTTATTTTTCAAAGGAATTTGTTCGATTACATTGTTTCAAATATCATATACATTAATTATTGAATGTTTAGGTGGTAAATGGAGATTTTATCTAACAAATTTTTCCTTTGCAATATTTATATTGGGAAATATTTATACTGGTCTTTGTGCATGGTGGTTACGTGAATGGAAATTGATTGAAATTTCGGGTATTATTCCCGTTTTATTTCTATTACCATATCCATTGTATGTTTTGTGTTGTTTTGTTTTTTTGAATTAATAACCAATGAAGAATTCTTCTTTTTTTATCATCAATTTTAGCATATTACCCGAATCATTACGTTGGGAATTTGCTGTTGGTAAACATACAAAAGCCATAGATAATATTGATAAAGCTGTCAGAATGAATGGCAATAAAATTGATAATGAAACAATTGAATCATTTTTGGAACAAACTAAAAGAATGACCAAATCAAAAATATCGATTGGAAAATTATTTACAAACAAATCAATACGATTGTTTTTGATAATATTTCTATTTATTCGTTTTATAAATGCCATTGGTACACATGGAATTTCATCATTTTTATCATCATCATTGAATGAAGATAATATATACATTTTGACATTAACAATGATGATCATTGAATTATCTGGTGTAATTTTATCAACATTGATTGGTGGATTTTCTCGAAAATTTATACTAATGATTATGATGATTATGGCCGGATGTTTTTGTATTGTTTGTTCATTTATTGAATTGAATGATTGGAAAATTATTTTTGTCATTATTTGTCGAATATGTTTAGTTGGATCAGTTACATTGGCCATTGTTTATTCGGCAGAATTATTTCCCACTATACTTCGTATTAGTGGTGTTTCATTTTGTGCATTAATATCAAAAATTGGTTCAATGGCTGCAACACATCTAATTGAATTGGTTTGTTTGTTTGTTTGAAAATTGTGTAATTAAACAAAAAAAAATAATAATAATTCTTTTATTATAGCATTCATCAGAAAATCCATTACCTTTCATATTCGTTGGTATCCTGACAATTATTGCCGGTTTATTAATCTTCATTTTACCCGAAACAAAAAATCGAAATTTACCCGATTTATTGGAAAATTGAAAAAAAAAATTTATAAATCATTTTATACAATGAAAGTTATTGTTGTTGGTTATCATTTTTGCTGATGATATACTAGCATCATATTAACCAATATATTTTGCTTTGCCAATGTTTTTTGTTTTTGTTTTTAATTCTTTTTTTTCCCAATCTAAATTCAATTTTAAAATAAATTTTGTCAAAATTAATTTCTTGCAAAAATTTTATTTTTGAAACAAAATGTTATCATCAATGCTTAAAGAACATCAACTCAAACAAATTTCGAAACGTGAAGAAATCGGTATCTGTATTTTTCTTTTTTCGAATTTAATTTTAAAACTTTAAATTTTTTCTTTGTTATTGTCAATAAACAGAGCAAAAACGTAATGCCGCCATTGCAAGCTCAATAAAATTTACATCACAAATGGTTCATCATTTGAATGAAGGGTAAATTGATTTTATTTTTGAAAATTTTCTCTCATTTCGTTTGTTTTTTTCACTTTTAGCGTTTCACAAACATATCTAAATCAAAGAAAATTAGATAATGAATCTAAACAACTTTATCAAAATATTGAACATTTATCTAGACAAACAAATCAATGGTTAATATTAATGAATAATTTTAATGATTCATTAAAACAATTGGGTGATGTTGAAAATTGGTCAAAATGTATTGAAATTGATATGCGTGAAATATCATCAATACTTGAATATGTTTCATCCAATTCGAATAAAACGCCGCCAACACAGCCAAAAACAAATTAAGAAAAAATTACTTTTTTTAAATAAAAATGTTTATTCCCGTTTCTGGATTATAATTGAAATATTTATAATAATAATTTGTGAAAAATAAAAATCATGTAAATGCTTGTTGTGTAAACGTGTGGTGTTTGTTTGTGTAAATAAGGTGCCAATCAATGGCACTGAGAGAAAGAATTTGGATTTAAAAAAAAACTTGATCATTTTGTCTTTTTTTTTCATTCATTCATTCATTTGGATGTTTGACAAAATATATTTTGTTTTGATTAAACAAATAAATAATATATAAATGGAGAGTGGAGTGTTAAAATGATGATGATAAATATATCAATGTTGATCATCATCATAATAATTTAGGCAACTTTTTTATAAATTCTTATGGATGCAACATCATTAACAATCGATGTAACTTTAATTTGTTCGGGTGAAAATTCACGTATAATATGAACATCAGGACCATCACCTTCTTGTTTCTGTATCCATTTATTACCTTTAATCTGTATGGTTGATTTAACTGTTTGACCATCCAAACGATCTTCATCAAACGGTACAGAATCTTTAAATGTTATAGCTGAATTACCGAATGTTGATACAGTTTTTAATGTATATGAATCACCATCTTTTGTTATATAATAACGTGATGATGCTGCTGTTGCAGCTAAACGTGTAAAATAACCAATACCCAATTCGGTTAAAAATTCATCAAAATTATCGCTACTAACTAATTCATATTCTCCAACAAAATTATAATCTTTTACCGGTTCGGATGGATTTTTATTATTACCAATTGGTTCACTTGATGATACTGTTAATGTATCATTAATAACATTTTCTTCCAATAAATTTGATAATTCGGCACTTGATAATTTTGGTTTTGGACAATTTGATTTATCATCTTTAAATATTAGTACAAGAACTGCACACAATAATAAAACTGTAATAAAAGATTTACAAAAAAAAACGAAAATTACAACAAAAAAAAATTAGTTCATCATCATAACATATCGATCACGGATCAAATTGATTGAAAATCGATCCGATACAAAAAAAAACAGAGTTTCAAATTTCAAATTTTGTTTTTTGTTTCATTTTTTTTTTGTTCACCTTGACACAATGATAAATAGATTAATTAATATGTACTTACAAGTAACAACACCATATAGAATAAATGAAAATGTTTTGAGCTTTGATGAGGCCATATTTTGTTAATTATGATGATTATTGATTTGATTTGATTGAAAGAAGATGATTTTTTGAAATGTAAAATGATGAACACACACAAAAACAAGCAAACGTTTTTTATTTTGAGTTGAGATTGGATTAATGAACTGTGTTTGAATTAAAATTCCAAGTGGATGGTGATAATTGGATGAAATGATGATTTACAGGAGAAAAAAATTTAAAGAATTTCGGCTTATATTAAATAAAATCTAAATATTGAAAAATGAAACGAAAAAACAAAATTATTATTATGAATTTTGCTTCGTTCAACAGGAAATATGATTATCCAAAAATAGAAGTTATGAACAAACAATGAAACAAAATTTCAAAAACCAAAAACAATCGCACGCACATAGACAAACAACGTGTTTCAAATATGTTAATGACAAACAACATAACATTGGTTAGAAAACAAAGCAGAAAACATTATTTCCTTTCCTTTCTTTTGTTTTGTTTATTCGATGGCTTTGAAAAACGATTTGACAATCGACTGAAACAAAAACTTGAAAAACAAAATTTTTTTTAATAATATCTAGGCTGAATTACAATGAAAATAAAATCAATCAATCGATTATTGATCGATCAATTCACAATTCAGCAAAAATAATGATGATGATGTTCAATTACAAAGATAAAAAAACAATTTATATTTGGGTTTTTGAAAAGGGGATATGGGGTTTATGAAAAACAACAACAACACTGATTGATTGATTGATTGATTGATTGATTGACAACCATGAAAAAAAAAGAAATTTGATTTGAAATTGTAATTAGCTAATGATGATGATGATGATGATGAAGTGTGATTTGAGAAATGAAATGTCTTTATTTGTGTGTGCGTGATGATTAAATGACTGAAAGTCATCATCATCATCATAAACAACAATCTAATCTAATCTCTAATCAATCGACAAATATCGATTGATTGATTGTTTTGTTTGATTCGAAAAGAACCGAAAAACAACAAAAATCTTTCAAATGTACTGAAATGATGATGATACACAGACATTTTTTCTTTTTTGGTAAATAAGATAATCTATTTTTCCTTTCTTTTCTTAAGGAATTTTTCGGGTTTTTTCACTTGACAATTCAATTTGATAATCAAATTGAATCAATATCACAATATCGCATTATCTCAGCTGCTATTACATTTTTTTTTGAATTTTGATGCCGGTTTTAACAAGTTTTTTTCATTTCATTGCTTTGTTGCTGTGCGAAATACAAGATGTTTGTGTGTGTGTGTGAGGAAGATAAAATTAATCTTGATTTTTTTTTTGGAAAAATGAAAAGAGAAATTTCTCAAATTTTTTTTTCTTACTTGTTTTAACCGCTGACCTCCTCTCTCTCCTCTAATCATCATTTATTTATTTTTAACCTTGAAACAAATTTTTTTCGTTCGTTTGACTCAGAAAACAGATTACAGCTGTAAATGGAATCAAAACTTTGACTAGATTTTTTTTGTCTGTGATTCGATAAAATTGATGCTATTCAATAGAATGCAAAAAAAAAGTTTGTCTGTGTTTAGCTTCAATGATAAAAATGATATTATGAATTATGGTGAGCAATGGGAAAATCAAATGATAAAAATAGCAGAAAAGAAAACAGCAAAAATATCGATTTTAGCAACAAAAAAGTATCGATTTTTTTTCGTTATTGATTAACCCAGATAAACAAAAAACTCACTTACGTTTGAAAAAATAGGAATTCTTTTCAGAAACCAGGTGAATAAACAGAAAACAAATTAACTTTTTATTTTCATCAAAGTAATGACAATCAATGTGTGTGATGATGACATTCAATCACGAAATGACGAATAATGAATGAATGATGACAAGGTAGAAAAAAAATATGAAAAAAAAATTCAGCAGGAAAACAAAAATTAAAAGGGAAAATTCCCAAAAAAAAATTTCTTTGTTTAACGGAATTCAAGGTTTTTTTCTGTTTGTTTTGTCTTTGATGCGTTTCCACCCCAACCAAACATTCGAAAAGAAAACAGAAAAAAAGAGTTAACAAAATAATTAATCAAAAATTAATCTATTTCTCCTAATGATAATTTGCTGATCTTGTAATGGAAAAAGGATAAATGAAGGGAAAAAAATTGAAAATTCATCAAGTATTATTTGTACCCGGCTTTTCTGTGTTGTTTTGCGAATGATGTTATCAGAAGACATTTATTTTACGCATGATGTTAAACACACGCTGAACTATAGTTATATGGGAAAAAATTCTGAACATTTGTCGGATTTAGGTTTCTAGTTTTCTTGTTGTGGGATATTCTGGGATTGATGATTCTAAAAATAATGATAACCTAAGAATACAATGGAAAAACTAGATCAAATTCTTGTCAGCTGATGATGATGATTGTGATTGTGATTGCGAAGGTGGAAGAAATTAATGTTTTTTCTATTTTTATTCATTAAAAAAAGAGATTCGAAGAAACAAAATATCAAGGCAAAAAAATATGGAAGAAATGAATTCAAATTCAGATTGCCTCATCATTCATTCATTAATCATATGATTTTTATAAATATAAAAATAAAAAATTTATTTACGAAATACAAACGCAAATGACGAACGAACATTTCCGGTTATAGATTTATACAAAAGTTTTTGATAATTTTTCCGGTCAATTTTTTAATAATTATTATTAATAATCATAATCATAATAACCGGATATAAATTTAACACGCAGGCACACACACATACAGACAAACATTTCCTTTTTTCTTTTTCTTCTATTTACAAAATCTCCTAACAAAAAAAAAATGATAATAAGGATGTAGATAGCCCCCATAGTTGGACAAGTTTATTTTTTTTCAAAATACCGGGATAAACGCAAAACAAGAACAGAAATTATTAAGAAATTTTTAACTTTTGATATTAAGGTCATCGTATCATACATAACACGTACACACCATACACAACAACAACAACAACTAAAAAAAGTGAAACTAATATTAATTCGTCAATAAGTCAATGTCATTCAATTGTGAAACGCTTATATTTAGAATTGAAAACAAAAAACAAATGTGAAAAAAATCAGATAAGAAAAAAAATGTTTTTGTTTGTTTTTCTCACAAAAAAAACGAAAAAACAAAACAAAAATCAACGACAAAAAATAGGTAAATTTCAAAATTTTACAATCAAAAATCAATAAATAAATACCATTCAATAATTCAATCCAAATGATATTTCTTCAAGAAAAATTCTTGTTGATGGAAAAACAAATCAAATTTTTTGTTTTTTTTGGACACACAACAGTCAAATAAATAAAAAAAAAATAAGAAGAAAAATGTGGATCAATAATCGATCGATCGGAATGATGATGGTGTTCAAGTGGTGGCAGTATTCAATTGTATACTGAGCAACAATGGCAAAAATAGACTAAAAATTTCTTCAGTTAAAAAAAAATGAAATGAAATTTTATACTGCTGCTGCTGCTATTTATTTTTTTCAACTTTTTTACCAATATAAAACGCATGTGTGTGTGTGTGTGTGTTATATATCAACAACAACAACAACAAAAATCAAAATGGTGGGTGTCATATTGTAATCTCCAGAAGAAAAAAAAAATCGTCTGAATAACATTGAGTTTGCATATTGGTTGATTTTCATTGGTTTGGTTTGCTGGTGAATGGGGAGAAATGCGAGAGAGAGAGAGAGAAGCTGATTAAATTCAAAAAAAAAAAAATTTATAAACAACGTGTATATATCAAACACACCAATGTGTCATTCAAAGTGTTAAGATCAAAACAAAAAAACAACTTGAAAACGTAATCAATTTACGGTTTTACCCTTAATTTTGTTAATTTCTTAATTACGAATTGGATTTCCTTCTTGTTTTTAAGGGAAATTTTTTGTTCTTCCCCCTTTACTGAACGTTTAGTAATATAAGATTTCAATGAATGAATGGGTGCAATAACAGGATTTTGGTTGTTTTTTTTGGTTGCAAAAAAAAGGATGATGATTTTTGATTTTTCAAATGAAAAAAAGTTAATTAAAGTTTTCATTTGAAAAAAATGAAAATTCAATCAGTTTTTTAACGATTAAAAATCGAGAGATCGATAAATTATTGGTTGGTTGTTCAGGGGAAAAAATCGGAAAAATTTCCTTTTAAATTTTTCAAAAAATGGATGTACGTTTAAAATGAATCTTACCTTGTTTGTTTTCATCATCGTCATCATAATCGTCACCAAAAACCAATCAAACAAGTGATGAATGTAATTTTTGTTTTCGAAAAACAAAAACAAACAGAATTTCAAATAAATCACCTAACCATTTTGGAGAAAATGTAAATAATTTTACAGGTAAATATTGGCACAATCAATCGAGAAAAAGAAGTGAAGAAAGAAAAAAACTTTTTCCTGTTAATGACGATGATGATGCTTGAAAATTATCAAACGAATGAAATGAAAAAAGCGATGAATGTCAATGACGAATGAATTTTTTGTTTTGTCTTGATTGAATTGATGAAAACAACAACAACAACAACAATTAAAATCAATAATGTATTTTTGGATAGTGATGATGTAGACAACAACAACAACAACAAATCTTTTCAACAACAACAACAACAACAAAATTTACGAATATCTAATTAGGTTTATCAATAATAATTTTTCTGTGTGTGGAGGTCAAGGTTTTTGTTTGTTTTGTATCATCTGATGATGGCTTGTTTTTTATGTTTTTCATGTTTTTTGTTTCAAAGAAAAAAAATCAACAGATTCACTTGTTGATTATGGCGATGTTAATGTGTTTGGAAACAAAAAATAATCGATTTTATTTTTGGGAAAAATGGACAAAAAATTGACAAAATTGAACTAAAAAAAAATCAGATACTGTTGCTGTTTTATTGCACGAAGAAAAATGTTTTCCAATTTAACACGCACAAAACACGTGTTTGCTGTTTGGACGATAACAGAAAACAGAAAAAAAATTGGAACATTTTTTTTCTTCTTTCTAAATTTGAAATTTGAAATTTTTCTTTCTTTACTTCAAATCTGATATTATTAGGGCTGAAACGTTTTTGTTTCAAAAGAAAACAAAAAAAAAAATTATTTATTTATGTAATTGAAATAAACAAACAAACAGATATAAAAAAAACTGATTGAATTCAAGGTTGTTTTGTGTTCTCCCTTCCCTCACAATAAAATGATGATGATGATGATATTGGTGAAGTGAAAGAAAGCAAACAGAAAAATCTAAATTTGAATCCAAAACAAACAAACAAAATGGACTAGCTAAAAACACATAGAAATTTGTTTTTGACACAGTATCTCTTTTTTCGTCGTTTCGTTATGAAAATCTTTTTTTCTATGTTAAAGTTATTTTCGGGTGTTTAAAATAATCGATAGAGAACGAAACAAACAGAGAGAAAAAATCAATAATAATTCAATGATTCAAGATGTTTGTTTTGTTTTTTTGGAACAAACGCGTAAAATAAATTAAATTTTTCAATTCATTCAATTCATGTTATAATAATAATAATCATCATCAGTTTCGCTCTAATGATTAACAAAACACATTAGATAATAATAAGGATAATAATATGATTTAGGTTTCAAAAACAACAAATTACAAATTACAAACACGTGCAACAACACACTATTATTATCAATTTTTTTTTGCCAAGCCATTATATAAATTGATTTTTAAATTATTCAACGAAAATAAAAGCAAATCCATTATGTAATGATTACCACAAATTATTATGATTGCCTAGATAAGTAATCGATCAAACAGAAAAAAAATGAAGAAAAATTTGAATTTTGACATTTTTTTTTAACTTTGTTTGTGGATATTTTTTGCTAAAATTCAAGGTGAATTTCAAGATTTTTTTGCATTTGACATTTTGTCTTGTCAATCTTGATGATTGATGATTACCCCTTTTGGCATCTTCTTTATTTTAAATGATGATCATCCTTTTTTTCTCTCTCTCTATTACAACTACAAGGTTAATCCAAACAACAACAACATTTATCAATAATAAATGTTAATTATTATTGATGATTATTGATGGTCAGATATTTTTGTTTGTTCAACAAAGAAAATTAAAATCATCAAAACAATTGACGTGATAAGGATAATTATTTAGCCATGGTAACCAGAATGAATGAATAATGAAAAAGTAAGAAGAATCAGAAGAAAAAAATATTCAAAAATACACAGAAAAACAAACACACATCACAAATGTCTGTTTGTTATTAATCCAATGTGTGATATTTGTTGTTGTTGTTGCTGTCCGATGCAATAATATATTGATGTTTCTTATTCGTTTGTCTCTATGTGTGCGTTTATGATGATGATGATCAAGGTTTTATGGTTCAACAGGTTTTTTTCATTTCATTTCGTTTTGTTTGTTAGCAAAATTTGCATTAGCGAATTTTTGTTAAAAAAAGTAAAAAAAAAAACACGCGAATCACGTTGAAACAGACAGAGTCAGACACATCAAGAAAGGAATCTTATCTTCTTCTTCTTCCTATTTTTTCTATATAAAAATCATCCTTACCAATCTTATCCATCATTGAATTTTTGAAAAAAAACTTGTTCAAGTTTTTTTTTCTTCGTCGTTGTTGTTGATATTGCATGCAGGTATATCAAAATTCTTCATCATTTTGGATTGTGTGAATCGACAAGAAACGACATCAAAAAAAACAATTTTGAAAATTTCAAGCGAACAACTATATTGGATCTTAAAAAATGAATTTTCGAGGTTTGTATTTTGAAGATTTTTTTCAAGTTTTTTCTTCGATTTACATTTCTTCATGATAATCTTATTTGAAAAAAATTAGGTATCATATTTTTATTGATAATCGGTTCGATATTAATCTCACAAATCGATGCACAAAGAAAAAAAGGTTCAAGAAAAGGCAAAAAAGATCCATGTCATTTAAAAGAAATTGATGTTTGTATTGGTAAAGTACAAGCATTAGGTAAAAGAAAAGAACCAAGTGCATTGATTGCATCCAATGAGGGATTGAACACTATTTGCAAGTAAATATAATTTTTTTTTTGTTTAATAATTTTTGTAAAATTTTTGTAAAAATAAAATCATTTTCATTTTCATTTTCAGAGCCATTAAAGAAGATTTAACAAAATGTGTTAAAAATTTTATTAAAAAATGTGGTACACCATTACATAAAGAAGTATCTGATTTGATTGTTGATCAAATTGATAATTCTATATCAAGATTTTGTGATCCAAATAATCCACAACGTCAAAGTAAGTTTGTTAAACAAAAAAATAGACAAATAGACAAAACAAAACAAAGCTAAATAATGATAATTTTTTCACACAGAATTCTTAAAAGAATCACCCTGTATACATAAAAAAGTATTCAACACACAGATCTATAAACAAACATGTAATAATAATTTTTTGGCTACTGTCGATAAAATTGATGCTGAAGAACATTTAGAAGCTGATCGTACACATACAACAATTTGTTGTGGTTATAATAAATGGGATGAATGTTCAAAAAAATTAATTACAAAAGAATGTGGTAATGATGCTGTTGATGTTTATGGTGATTTTGTTGGTGAAGCATTCGGTACATTAACTAAAATGATTTGTCCAGCAAAATTTTTTGCATCAAAAAAAAATAATTGTAAAGATGTTCTACCAAAAGATGATGTTATTGCAAAAGGAAAACTTGGTGATAATGCATTAACTAAATATGTAGTATCATTGTTTTCATTTTTATTCATTTTTGATGAATAAGGATTTCGTTTTCGTTTTGTTTTTCTTGCTGACCTTTTTCTTTTTTTGAATTACCTTTTTCATTTACCTGTGCGCGCACACACACACACACAGACAGATTTTACTTTCTTTCTTATTTAGCTAATAACTGAGATAACAACAACGATGATGATGTTTAGAGAATCTTTTTTCGCTTTCTTTGAATTTCGCTGCTGCTGCTGCTGCTATGCTTTAAGATCAAATTTGTAACGTTCATTTGTAAATATCATTGATTAATTAAATTTTGGCTGATAAAAATAAAATAAATTTTAAAAATTTCAAAATTTTAATTTAAAAAAATTAAGTTAATAAATATTTTTACAAAAAAAAATATAGTCAAAAAACTAAATAAATAAATAAATAATGGATCGACAAAACATACAGATGATGTTCATTCATCAAAATAAATATCATTTGAATCGATTTTTTTCGAAAAATTAATACCAGTTTTTGTACAAAGACAATCATAAATAGAATGTATAACCATATTACAATGTACACGTGAACCATATAATTGAAAATAATTACACAAATCAAATTTTGGTGTTTCAATATAAATATTATATGTTGATTGTAAATCTTTTACAAACCAACCATTACGACCAACAACAAGGCCAATATATTTATCCGGTATAAACAAGCGAATAGATGCTGCATCTTTGATTGAAAATTGTTTAAAAAATTTGAAATTTTTTTTCGGAATAAACACTTACCATTTGAATCAATTTTTTGCATTATTTTTACATTTCTTGCCTGTTTTATTTCGGCAAAATGATTATCGGCACGAATTATTTCCTGTTTTACGGCCATTACTTTATCTTTTGGTCCACGAATAATAAATACTGGTTCTTCATTTGCAGCCGGTGTATGTATATAGGTACCATATTTAGCACGTAAATGTTTAATTTTACAACCATTTTTGCCAACAATTTGTGCAACATGACCAGAATTGGCAACCGATACTGTTTCACAATAGATTTTTTGTCGTCTATCCGATGTTGTTGGTGCTGTTGATGTTGATGTGGATGTAGATGGATGCCGTCCATCACCATCGTAACGATTAGAGTTTGAACATAATGATTGTGTATCGGAATTTAATTCAGTCAATGGTGGTGATGATGATAATGCTGATTCAGTTGTTGTTGGTGTTGTTGTACGACCAAAACTGTTGATTTCAAAATTATTAAAATCATCATTATTATATTGATAATGATGATAATTTGATGAAAATAATGATAATGATGATGTTGTTAATTCGGATGTTATCGATAATGTATCGGATGCATTATCGGCCCATATATTTCGAAAATCCATTAGTTTTGTCGATAATCCAATCAATCAATCAATCAATAAGGAAAACGAAGAAGATGATGATAAGTAAGTGAAATAAACAAATGAAAAAGAAACATTGATTTATATATACAAAAAATCATCACAAAAGTCCAGTCATCATCATCATCATTATCTGTTTGACAATGAATTTGTTTTAATATTCAAAGTTAAATTCAATGATTAATTCAATTTTTTTTAATCTAATATTTTTTACACATAGATTGTTGACCAAGAGACAAAACAAGACAGTAACAAAAAAGAAAAGAAAAGAAGAAAAAATGCAAATATATTTACACAAAAACAATATTATAAAATGAAATAATCACTTGAAATGAAAGATCATCAAATATATTTAAAACATTTTTGTTTATCATGTGAAACACGTGTTTTGAATAGAACAGAATCGGCACGAAATTGTGTATAAAGTAATGGCATATAACCATATATTGAAACAAAATAATTAATACATTTATGACGTTTTAGAAAATGTTCAGATTGATTTTCGGATAATCCAGTTTGACAAGCTGGACATCTATATTTTTTGAAAATTTAGAAAACATTATAAAATTTAACAAAACAACAATAATAAAATTACCTAAATGTCCATTTAGATGTTACTTTGATTGGTGGTTTACGTGTTACATGTGATACAAGAAAATTCATAGCAATATCTTCACAATTCATAAATTCATCCACTTTATCTCTAATCAATGATGACATTGAATATGAATAAAGATATGAATAATACTGTAAATAAATAAATGTATTTGTTAGTAAAGTTTTTTTCTCATCATAAAAAACATAGATTATAATTACTTTATGAAAAAATGCAGCTCCGGTTAAAATCATTGAATATTCACATGTATAGCTTGAATTATAGTACCATGATTTTTCATTTGTTTCATATGAATGAAAACGTGCAGGAAAACCAACGATACGATCTCTAGCTTCACGCCAAACTCTATTGAAACAAAGTAAATAAATTTAATAAGGAAAAAGGTAAATTTAAACAAATCTACCTGAAAGCAAATATAATTTCATCATGTCGTAAATTGGTATCATCATCAATAGAAAGAATGGCTTCAGTTTTGATTTCATCGAATGGAATAAAACGATTATTCAATGAATTACGTTCACTTTTAATGACAACAATATCGACACCAATATCAGGCCATATTATATCAATAGATGGTGGTTGTGGACTATTCCAAACAATCACAACCTTATTTAGATATGGTAAATTCTGTGTGTAATAAACAATATTAAAAAAAATCGAATGTTTCAAATCTGAATAAAATTGTTTATGATACTAACTTTTAAATGTGAAAGAATTAGTAATAAAACATTTTCACGTTCATAAGTCAATATGACAATTGTAAATTGTTCTCTAATATGATTTCCTCCCAATGATTCGGAAAATTCTTTACCCGAGCCACCAAGCCCAGCACCGATTGGTCGAAATCCATATGAAGAACCAATAAATTTTGATTCAGAAGGTAAAACCGGATCAAATGGCAGTGAAGGAAATGTATGGAATGGTGTAAGACTAATATCATTCCAAATGGAATATAAATTATTCATAGTTATCGAATAATTACGATGATAACTGATTGATGCAAACGGTGGTTCAATTGGTCCAAGAAATTCATCACCATCTGATGATGGATCATTATCATAAATTAATGAATTAGTCAATAATGAATCACTTGAATTAAATTGGATATCATATTTTGGTTGATTGTAATAATAAATCGAACGATAACTAGGTGGTGATGATGGAGGTATTTGCAAACGATATGTTCCGAAATAGGCAAAAAATGTTGCAATAAATTTATCTAAATTGGCAAAATAAGTTTGATAAAAATGTAATCCATATCGTCGTAGTTCAATAATATCAGCATCCGTATAGGTTTTTAATAGGACATATAATTCGGTTATACGAGCAATAGGTAAACGAATTGTAGCTTTTCGCCAATCGATAACATCTTCAAATGGTAGTGATATCATATCATTAGAAATGATTATAGGAATCGAACCTAATCAAATTAAAACAAAAAAGATAATTAAAATCAATAGATCTTTCAACTTTAAAATACAAACAAACCTGTAGATAGAGCATTAAATAAACGTTGATAAAAATCATGATGAAATGAATTATTATTGATAATAATAATTGGTATCAATGTAAATGTAGATTCAAGTAAAATGATTGTTTGATTATCACAAAGTTTTTTTGTTTTTTCATCACAATCAAAATCAAATAGAAATTCATTATGATTCACAACACTATGTTTGGTCAATAGATTCAACATTGTATTTTTGATGATTAATTGAAGATTGTCGTCATATGCAGTATTATTATTATTATGGTCAGAATTTTCATGACGCAAACGGCCAAGGAATGTGAGGAAATATTTTCGTTTAGCAGGTGATAATTTTGGTGAGAAATTTTTCACTTTCAAATTCTCATTAAATGAATGAATAATCTGTACATTTGGTATGACTAAATCAAATGAATGACGAAGACTAGAAAAAGATTTTGAAAATTGATTTTGAACAATGATTGCTTTTTTTACATTCAATTCGATTGAATTTAGATCAATTTTTGGATTCATATTAAAGATAATATGATTACGGCCATCACCGGCCCAATATGGAAGTGCAGCCAGATAATTTTGAAATGAAATTCGATCATTCCAATATGGAAAATGTTCCGAAATGATTAATAGATAGATGCATGCTATTCTTGGATCATTTGTTACATGAATATTTGAACGAAATTTATCATAAATGATTTGATCAAATGATGAACGAACATGATGATTATCATCATGATTATAAATGAATACAAAAAATGATGAAAATAATGAACAACGTGAATAATCAAAGCAATTGTGCATTTGACATTCATTATGATTCAAATGAGAGATGGTAGCTTTTTCTGTAAAAAAAATTGAAAAATCATTGAAAAAAAAAGATGAAAATTCATTCAAATGTCATACCATTTTCAATGAAATTTTTTGCCTGAGCTTGTTTGGGCAATAAATTTAATGGCGGTTCAATCATTGATCCGACTAAAACTTTGGCTTCTTTTTGAGCAACAACAGCTTGTTTAATATGAAGTTGAAGTCGTTCCAATTCATTGGATTTTTTACCAATCGTTGATTTTAATTTTTCCAATTCATTATTATGTTCAGTTAATTCCTGTATAATCGATGTACGATTACGTTCTAAGCTTCGTAATTCTTTCAAAACAGATGAACGTATACGTAATAATTCACGAACACGAACATTAAGATCTTTTGTACAAGAAGACATAATGTTAATACAACTGATAATTACAACAGGTAAACAAAAAAACTTACCATTAATTTTATCCAAATTTTTAAAAGAATTATCATTAATTAATAAATCATATTTTAGCTCATCATTATTATTATTGTTATTATTATTATTATTATGAATAATTGATGATGGATCAATTGTTGTACTATTCAATGATATTAGATAAAATGTACTGAAATTAAATGCTAATAAACACATTATAAATAAAAAAACTAGAAAAAATAATCGTCGTATTGTTAAACATTGTTGACAATTCATTTTTGATTTTGTTTTTTTTTCTCCCGACAACAACAACAACAAAAACACGAATTTCCAATTCAAGACATTGATTAAAACCGATAAGAAATTATAAATTCTTAAATAAAATTTAAATAAAATGAAGAGAATAATAAATTATAAATAAAAACATTGAGGTAAAAGGTCAATATATTGACAATATATTCTGTCAAATCGAATCTCAAACAACATCATCATCATATTATTCTGTTCGATTCTGTTCACACCGTTCATAAAGGACGAATCATTTTTCAAATTTTTGAAAAATTTTAACTTTTTTAAAAATAATTTTTCAACGAATATAATTGATTCATTTATTCAATTATAAAATATAACAATTTGAGGGGAATTTTTTTTGCACAATAAAATTTGATTTGTAAATGGAAATAAAATTCAATGAGATTTGGACCAATCAAAATGAGAAGAACAAAAAAATCACTTTTTTTGAATTTGTTTTTTGTTTTGATTATTTTAAAATTGCAGTGGAATAAATTTTATATTAGGAATAATATCCATTTTGTTGTGTGAGGATTTATATTTCGGTGGAATTACCATATGAATCATCGAATAAATCATTAATGACTGAAAAATATCTTGATTTAATTGAACAACGTTTAAGTTTCATAGCTGCTGTAAGCATTTCATTATCGGATGTCCATTCATCCGATACTATTTGAATTTTTGTTGGTATTTCCATTTTTTTCAATCCATTTTCAATACCAGTTTCACGAACAGATTTCAATAGAATATCAGATAAACGATGATTCATTGATCGTAGAGCTTCATTTGGAATACGATGTATTTTAGCTAAATGACCCATTTTTTCTGCATTCGGTACAACTAATGCAACAAGATAATTAGCTAATGCATTACCAAATACACATATATGATCAATGTAGCCACAATTTTTTAATGTTGTTTCAATTTTACCCAATGATACATATTCACCATTAGCCATTTTGACCAGATCTTTTTTACGATCAACAATTTTGAATGTACCATCAGGAAAAACTTCAGCTATATCACCACTACGTATCCAATTGATTCCTAATTTTTTATCCTTAACAATTAATTCATTAGTTGCTTCAGGATTATTAAGATAACCAAGACAATTAGCTTTACTGCCAACTAAAAGTTCACCACGTGGATGAGGTAGATCACTAGTACGATAACCGCCATCATTCCAATCATCAAGTTTAGCATAAACATTCAACATTGGTGGACCACTTCGACCATATGAAAGATCATCATTGTCCATAGCAAAACATGCACCACATGTTTCAGTCATACCATAACCTTGAACTAATTTTGTATCTAATGCTGCTTTAATCAATGATTGTAAATTTGTTGATAATGGTGCACCACCAACAATTATCTTATCCAAACGTCCACCAAATTGTTCACGAATTTTTTTACAAAATATTTTATTTATTAGTGGAGTTTTATAACCTAATATATTATCAAAAGTAAAAGAAAATTAAAAATTTTCTTAAAACCAAATTTTTTTTCCAAAAAATACCTTTTTCTGTCCAATCAATTTTATATTTCATTAAATAATTAAATAATTGAACATGAAATGATGAACGTGATTCTAATTTATTATAAATTTGTTTCTGTATTCGTTGTAATACTAATGGTACGGATATCATAAATGTTGGACGAAGTAAAACTAAATCAGATTTAGTATTTGTAGCAAGACCGGGTGATGATTCGGTTAATGTAAATGGACTGGCAAACCCGATTGGTATGCCAAGTGCAAATATTAAAAATTCACATGTTGATTCAAAAATATGTGCTTGTGGTAAATATGCAACATAAATATTTTTTTGTCCATTACAAATATATTCCGATAATGATGGTAACATTTGATGACAAACTTGTATCATTTGATTTGATGTTAATTGTACACCTTTTGGTATACCAGTACTGCCTGATGTAAAAACTATTTTAAAAAAACAAACAAAAACATGATTATTAATCAATCAATCAATCAAATTAATTATAATTTACCGATAAAAGCAACTTGATTTTTATCTAATGGTTTACAAATCATTTCATCATTATCATTATCATCATCATTCGATGATTGGCGACCATCCGATTCAATTTCATTCAATGATACAAATTGTGCCTGATTAATTGGTTGAATAAAATGTTGTTCTTTTTCAATAATTTCCATTGAAACATTTTCAGCACGACGTTCAATATAGATAATTTTTTTTACATTCAAATTATATGTTTGTATAACTGAACGAATTTTCGGTATTAAATCCCATGATGTAAAAATATATTTGGAATTTGTTTCTTTAATTGCATGTGCAATACCTGATTCACCAAGTGTTGCAAAAACATTTACTTGTACAAAACCGGCACGTGCTATTGCAAATTCCATCATTAAATATTCGGCACATGTTTCACATAGAATTGCTATTGGTTCATTATGTTTAATACCGGCACGTAATAATCCTTTTGCAATCATATTTTTACGTTCAAATAATTGTTCATATGTTAACCAATCATAATCAGATAATTCACGTTTTTTAATAATTTTTCCATCCGATTTTAATGGTGTTACACCATCCGTACCATAAACAATATATTCACGTATTACACGACGATAACCAACAGCACGATCTTTTAATGATAAATATTCACCAATTTTATTACACATTTCATCAATTGTTTCAACAATATCAATAACACTACCACAATAATCTTTTCGATCTAATACACTAAACCATATTGATTTTGGATCATTTGGATTTAATTGTTTTGCACGAATTTTTTTTGATTTTTTCAATATATCATTTGGTTTTTGTAAAAAATAATAAATCGGTATTGTTAGATAAGTATAAATTGTAACAACAATACGTAATAGAATTAGTAAAACATTCTGAAACAAATGATCCATTGTTGTTGCTTTAATCATAAAAGTATCGGATAAAAATTCAGTAATCATTTTTGATGTTTGATTTTCGATGATCGAATCAGGATAGGTGACACAAGTTGATCAATTTATATATGAATGTTGTTTTATCTCTAACAATGAAAATAAAAAAAAATTAAAATGTGACAAAAAAGTATGGTGATGTTATTTAAACAAGAAAAACAAATTTGATAAATGTTAAAAGCAAAGAAATCAATAATAGTGTGAAAGAGAGAAATATAAAAAAAATCTGTTAATGTCATTATAAGTAAATAGTTGATTGATTAATGTAAATTTTTAATTTAATTTTCCGCGAAATTTATTTTATTTTCTTTATGTCCATAAACAAAATGACTGACAGAAAAAATTCTTAAGAAAATCTAATTGATGAATACTGAAATTATCTAAATTAATTGGAAGGAAAACAACAAATGAAAAATGAATCTAATTACGTAAATGTGAATTGAAATTTCAAAAAAAAAAACAAAAACAAAATACCAACCATAATTGGAATATGATAAACATTTTTTTTTTAAATGAAAATTATCAAAACATTCAAACATTTAAATAGAAACAAGGAAAAAAAACTAAATCAAAAAATTTTTTTTTTTTGTTCAATATGATGTTGCCTGATTTTGATGATGATATGATATGAGATGGTTGTTTAATGATGATGATGATGATAATAGTGGTAGTCGTTGACGACGAATGGAATGATTTTTTGTTTTTCTGTTTTGGTAAAAAACAGAAATGGAATGAATCTACCTGAAGATCAAGCAAGTATCAATAAAGAACTAGCTAACTAATAAAATTATTTTCCAGAGCAATAAAGTTTTACATTATAATGTGAATTGGAAAAGTTTCCAAGAATTTCTCACCTCTCTCTCTCTCTCGCTTTCATATTTTGATGCCGAAACTTTCAAACTCTCATTGAATGCAGTGTATACACAGACAAAGATTCATTCATAGAAAACGTATTCACTGTGCGTGTGTTTGTGTTGTGAGTGTTCATATTTCCCATTTCCCGTTTTGTTTGGCAACGTGTGTCTGTGTGTTTGTTTGTGTTTTCAACATTTTCGTTTTGTTTTGTCATTTTTGTTTTGTATTTCGGAATTTAAAAAAAGAAAAAAACAATGGCCAAATCAAAGAATCATACTAATCATAATCAAAGTAAGTAGATTGCTGTTTTTTTTGGAAAACTTTTTTAAAAAAAATCATTCATTTTGTAACAGATCGTAAAGATCATCGAAACGGTATTCATCGACCGAAAAAAATGCGCAAACAATCGATGAAAGGGGTAAGTATTCTTTATATTCTTCATTTTTTTCATAGGAAAAAATACTAAATAATGAATTTTTATATATCTAAACATAAACAGGTTGATCAAAAATTATT